CTCCCCTCCCACGTCACCGGTGGCCAGCCGACTGTGGGGCAAGGAGTGGTCATACAAGCGCAAGAAAGGGACTTTGTTTAGAAATGTAACATTACTATATATTCGCACGAAAATTCGGCACACAACCAATGTGGGATTAAATCCGTCACCTTCCTCAGAAGAGGCGGGGCAACTAGCACGGGTTCGAATCCTCCTAGAGCCAAAACTCATATTTTTATTTGATTATCGTGACTTTCCTGCAGATCGCCGGTGAAAGATTAAGCAATCAAAATCACTGGATCATTGTTACTTAAATTACTGAAGGATTAAGCAAAAATCTCGTCAACACGATTCGCGAAGCATTGTTACTCAAATTACTGAAAAATTTGCAATAAAAGGATCGCGAATCCATCGAGTAAATCATCTCCGATTGATCGATGAACAAGCCATCATCGGGAAGAGTACGATCCACCGAGAGACGAGTCACCACCTCCTAAGAGCGTACCAGATACGATGAAGAGCCTCCTCTTGCTGCGCGGACCTGAGGATGAAGCTCCCTAACACGCGCCCCACCTCGATCCAGCTCCTCTCTGTCGGGTGACAGCCGTCGGAGAGCTGCAAAGTCGCCGTTTTTCCGCTCTGTCGGGTGACAGCTGCTGGAGACGATTCGACGTTATATCCCTATGTCGTGAATTTTAAATCTATTTCCTTTTTATTTCTTAGTATAAAATTCATATAAAATAGTATTCTTTGAGGAAAAATTCTGAATAATTACCATATATTATATTACATCCCTGCGATCGACCTGGAAAATTACCTCTATTTTTTAGAAGTTTTATTGAATTATAATTGATATATTTGTTCATAAATACTTCTAAATATATGAAAAATCGTATTTTCTAGTTTTATCAATTTTAGATTTACGTGATTTAATATACAATGACTGAGTCACGTCAAATTTTGGCATCGTTGCCGGGGATGTATTGCATAATATTTAGTATTTTTCTGTTTTTCTCTTCGAGTACACAAAAAAAATAAATTTAACTCTTGTTTTATTTTCTTTTTGCCGATTTATTTTTATTTTTTTAAAAAAAGGGAAACGAACAGAAGCAAGGCAAGGACTGGAGCATATTGAAGGAGGGTAACAATTACTAAAGTTTTTTCCTCGAATTTATTGATTTTTTATGCATGGTAGAAGATCCTTGCATCCAAGGCTAGAAAATCCTTTCATTATTTCATTCAAAACAAAAAATCCAAAAGAAAAAATTAATTTTGATAGATCTTGAAGGAAGTACAGATCATATTGAGAATAATCCTATGGCCATGAAAAATTATTATATCCCTGATTCATTTCAAAGAGCATCTAATATTAGAGTCCCATTAGCACCCAATGTTAAATTCGAAATAAATTCAAGAATTTTTCAAATACTCCTTAATTTTCATGGATTGCCTTTAGAGGAACCTCATCAGCACTTAGAAAAATTTCATATGGTCTGTGATTTAGTTAATCTCCCTCAAGTTACATCGGAAATTATTAAGATGAAATTATTTTCTCATACACTTAAAGACAAAGTTAGTCATTGGCTATCCACATTAGATAGAGAATTAACTAGCTGGAAAGATATAGAACAAGCCTTTCTTCGAAAATTTTATCCCTTAGGAAAAACTCAAAATATGAGAAAACATATATGGAGTTTTTCTCAAAGACCAAGGTAAACTTTACATGAGACATGGGAAACATTCAAAGATTTACTTAGAAATTGTCCTCATCATGCTATACCCAAGTGGCAGCTCAATAAATTTTTTTATGATGGATTATTAGAACAACATAAAAATATGGTTGATTTTATATGTGGAGGAGCTTTTATGGAGAAAACTCCTGATGAAATTTACAATCTTTATGAGAATTTAAGTGAAAATTCTAGAGATCAAGCCTCTTTTGAATTATATGACAGGGATATGAAGAGAGGAATTTATGAATTGCATCATGATGATGATTCTAAATTTAAAAATGAGGTTAATCAGATTAATCAAAGATTAGAAAAACTTGATTTACTTATTTACAATATTAGAAAGCCTCTTAACCCTCAATTTAATTCAAATAGTACACGTCTTATGTATGGTGAAAATGATCATTTCGAATTTCAATATCATCCTAGGCAAGAATAAGTGCAAGTACCCCACGATTTTAGTAAAAATAGGGAATATTTTTCTAATTCTTATAATCCTATTGGGGGAATAATTTTTCGTGGAGAAACTCAAATAATATTCAAAATCCAGAAGCACTTAGATCCAATTCAAACTCTGAATTTCGTCTCAAACAAGAAAACAGATTTTAGAAAAATCAGCCCTCTCAAACCCAACTTGATACTATAGAAATGATGCAGAAAATGAGCCAAATGATGTAACAAACTATGAGCCAAATGATGCAACAAACTATGAATCAAATGATGTTGTACCAGGAACAAATTATAGAGGCTCTTGGGAATAAGAGAGAAGAGGGGCAGTTACCTAGTCAACCCATAGAAAATTTAGGAAACTGTCCAACAGTAAGATTTCAGCAAGGAGAGTCTAACTAGATAAATCTAGAAAAAAACCCACGAAATGAAAATGTTAGGACAGTGAATACATTGAGTGAGAATATTTTACTTGATCCTTATTTTCAATTATTAGAAGAAATTGATGATCCATTAGAAGTAAATGAGAATATTAAGGCCGAAAATATAGTAGCATAAAATTTGAATAAAATCATTTATTGTTCACAATTGATGAATGAATATAGTGAGGATGATGAGGAGAAAGAGCCCTTAGATGAAGAAACAGTAGCTGATCATGAAAAAAACATCCAAATTTTAGTAGAAGGGAGTAAGGACAGAAATGAAGAAAAACATATTTCAGGTGAGGAAAAATCAATTGATTTGGGAGATGTAAGAGACGAAATTAATAAATCTAATCATAATTTTGCAGCCATAGATGTTGATTGTGAGGATGATGATGTATATCATATACCGAAATTAAAAGATAGCTCATGGGAAGATGAAGAATTTGATAAGTTGAGAAACGAAAAGCTAGAAAAAGAGTTGATTTAACTCATAGAGAGAAACGAAAATAATGGATATGAATATAGAGATAATTTTGGAGGAGAAAATGTGAATTTTACTGAATTCATTAGATTTGAGATTAAAGAAGACAATCCTTCCATCCTTCAAAACCTACAGCCCATTAGAATTATTTCTAAGCTTGAAATATTTCACTCCTCGTAAATTGAACAAATATGTATGGAAGATAAAATGAAACAGGGGAAGATTATGCAGATAAAAGAAGACATTAAGAAATGGATGAATGGAAGAATTAGAGATATCAATTTAGATGAAAAAATTCTAGATTGGGTAAGAGCTAATTTGAAAATTATATGGCCTAATCACATTTTATGGTCTATTAATAGAAAGTATTTATTAATGAATGAGAGCCCTACAAAACAAGATAGAAATGAGGAAAGATTCTTTTCAAAATGGAAATATTATTTTTGGGAAAATTTTGTTAATTCCCATTTTGTTTTGGCTGAAAGTATGTCAAGGTATATATATGAAGTATATGAATCTATGCTAAATTTGAAAAAGAATATCATGAAACTTACCTTGGGATACAAATATATTTTGATGGCCATAAATCATCTTATATGATCTAAGAGCTGTCCAGCTGAAGACATTAAATTCAGCGTTGTATGGGAGGCAACCCATGGTTTTTATTTCATTCTATTTGATTTTTTTTAAGCTCTATTTTTCTTAGAATTTTGCAGTACTTGTTTCTGTATTTGTTTTTTCGAAAAAGTGCAAGAGGAGTGTAAGACGAAGTGAAAAATTAAAAATGAGGTTGAAGTGATGTCTTTCTGAGCTTTATCATTTATGACAATATTTTTAATACTTAACTTTGCATATATGCATGCTTCACTTGAAAATTATATTTTCTACATATTCTGTTTCGATTTTTCTGTGTCATTGAGGACAATGTCATTTTTAAGTTGGGGGGTGAAGTATTCATTATTAATTTATGCTGTAGGACGATTAAGAACATGTGTTTGCATTAGAACAGCAACTGAAAAAATAAAAAATAAAATAAAATTCAGAAAAACTGCAACATCTATTTTCTGATTTTCTGTTAGGAACAATAGACTGTCAAAAACAGCAGACAAAAAACAGCTCGAAATTTGAAATTCTAGAGACCCTTTTCTCACATTTCAATCCCCTAGACGTATATTACTAAAATTCGAAATTACAGCTATAAAGAGGATAGTTTTGATTTATTTATGACAAATTTATTGTTGCTAAAAATAAAACTGAAAATAGAAAACGAAATTGTCAGAGCTATCTAATTTACAAATTTCTTACATCATATTGCATGCATAAAAAATTAAATCAATTAGATTGATTGATACCAAAAGATACTAGGAAGATTATTATTGAGTCAAAAGAATGATCTAGTAGCATGAAATGTTGGAATACTCCTTGGATATATGATAGATAACATGGATTTGATTTTACAGATTTTCACTTCATGATCTTGATGGATAGTATTTACTTGATGTGAAAATTTGATTGATCATTTGAGTTTAATAGAGATTTTTGTACCCTGATCTATAGGACTTGTGAGAAGAAATCACTTATTTCGAAAAAAAAAAAGAGAGCAATGTGAAAAATCTAGAAACGAAGAGTACAGATGGAGGGTGTGAGACATCATTCTCATTGTCAAAAATCGTGTATAGAAAAACTCTTGCTGCAAAATAAGTGGATAAAGTGAAAGCCCTGAAAATGAAGAGTACACATGGAGGGTGTGAGACATCATTCTTATTGTCGAAATTTGTTTATAGAAAAAGCTACTTATCCACCATATATATATATAAAAAAAGAGAAGGAAGAAATATAGTGCAAACTTCAAAAATCAAGCTATAGAAAAAAGGAAATGTAGGATCAATATTATTCTTAGATGATTATTGATAATTGGAACATCTTGTAAATATATCTATGAGTGAAGAAGTGATAAAGATGTGAATAGAAGAAGTGAAGTCTAGATTGTTATTCCAAAGAGTGCTTAAACATTTAAGTGCTTGACATCATTCTTAAATACTTGATATAAGAGTCCAAAGTGTCTAAAGGTGCATCATTTTAAATTGTATTTTTTTATGTATTCAAATATGATGTTTGAGATTTGTAAATTTTTATTCTCATAATTTCATTGCTAAGAGACTAGCAATGATTTAAGTTGGGGGGTGAAAAATTTGACGCGACTTAGTCGTTGTATATTAAATCACACAAATCTAAAATTTATAAAACTAGAAAATACGATTTTTCGGATATTTAGAAGTATTTCTGAACAAATATATCAATTATAATTCAATAAAACTTCCAAAAAATAGAGATAATTTTCCAAGTCGATCATAGGGATGTAATATAATATCTGGTAATTATTCAGAATTTTTTCTCAAAGAATACTATTTTATATGAATTTTATACTAAGAAATGAAAAGGAAATATATTTAAAATTTACAAAATAGGGAAATAAGGGTGCGGACGTCAAGATGACATCAGCACCCGGCGAATGCGAATCGGGCGGAAATAGAGTTCCACTCGGCAATTCTTATGTAAGCGATTATAGACGATTTGATTGATCAAATTAAGATCTGTAAAATCCGGAAGAATTGTAAGTGAACGAAGTATATTTTGGTAAATTCAAACCACAGAAATTATCACTAAATGAACCGTAAAGTAAGTTGAAAGCAGAAAAATAGAGTTTCGGCGTCGCGACAGCGATGCATCGGCGATGCACCAGAATCTTGAGCGTTCGGGAGGATCGTCGTGCAGTATCCATGGCCTCGAAGGCTCTCTTTGGACAAAGACGACATGGGCAATCTCTAGATCTCCTTGCAAAGTCTAGAGATCAATGAAGTGGGTCGTCGAATCATCTCCGGCAGCTGTCACCCGACGGAACGGAAAAATGGCAACTTTGCGGCTCTCCAGCGGCTGTCACCCGACGGAGATGAGCTGGATGGAGGTGGGGCGCGTGTCAGGGAGCTTCATCCTCAGGTCCGCGCAGCAAGAGGAGGCTCTTCATAGCATCTGGTACGCTCTCAGGAGGTAGCGACTCATCTCCTGGCGGATCGTCTTCTTCCCGACGACGGCTTGTTCGTCGATCAATCGGAGATGATTTACTCGATGGATTCGCGATCCTTTTATCGTGAATCCTTTAGCAATTTGAGTAACAATGCTCTACGAATTGCGTTGACGAGATTTTTGCCGATGATCTAGTGATTCTAGTTGCTTAATCCTTCACCGACGATCTACAAGAAAGTCGCGATAATTAGATAAAAATATGAGTTTTGACTCTGGGAGGATTCGAACCCGTGCCGGTTGCCCCGCCTCTTCTAAGGAAGGTGATGGGTTTAGTCCCACATCGGTTGTGCGCCGAATTTTCGGGCGAAAATAGAAATGTTATATTTCTAAACAAAGTCCCTTTCTCGCGCGTGTACGACCACTCCTTGCCCCATAGCCGGCTGGCCACCAGTGACGTGGAAGAGGAGTAGCGCACACGTGCCCCCATCGGTTCAAGCTGCTCGAGCCCCTGCTCGCGGCTATTCCTTGACTGCGCTTCCGACCTGCTTGCGAGCCCGGCTGGCCGGCGGGTCCCCCCAATTTGCAATATTTTTATTTTTATTTCTTTTTCTTCATTTATCTCAAAAGTAAGACTATAAAAATCATATAAATTCGTATAAAATCACATAATTACCCAAAAAATCACATTAATCAACTGAAAACCACTTTTCACACTTTAACACAAATATAAGTCTATTTATCACGAGTTAAGGCTAAAACTATATTATTTACTAATTATTAACTCATGATAATGAAGACTTATCAAGCCTTTATATAGGCTAAAAAGGAGGTGGGGCACTCCTAAAAAGAAGATCTTGAACAGATCTTAGTGACAAACTTTGACTATATCTAAAATGACCTAAAATGGACTCTAATAGAGTAAGATCTTAAATAGATTATGGGATAGACTCTAGATAGGACTTAAAACACCTTCTTAAAGAAAAGAGACATAAAGTAGCTTTCTTAAAGAATTTTTTTGTGTCTTTATTAGTCCTAACTAGCTATTGGGCCTTCTTTGAACATTCTTCTCTTTGTGGTCCAATTTTAATGTATTTAGGCCTCTAGTTTCTTTCCTCTTCACTGTCTAGGTTTTGGGCTATATCAATAAGCCCTTAAGGCTTTTATTGTACTTCAAAAGGAGGAAAAGACTAGGTATCTATAGTCACAACAAGGGGATGGCTATTAATCATTTTTAGGAATCTTATTAGTGCCCTAACTAGTTTTTTCTCTATTACTTTTTAAGTGCTCTTGATTTCTCTTGATGTTTGATATGACTTGGTCATTTTTTATTAAATCATGTAAATTTAAAATTTATAAAATTAAAAATATTAATTTTTATATATATTTTAAAATATCTTAAAAAATATTAATTATCATTTGATAAAAACTTTAAAAATAGTGAGGATGTTTTAGATCAATCACAAAGATGTAAGATAATAAAATTTCAAAATTATTTGCAAAGAATCTGATTTTATGTGATTTTTGGACTAAACAATTATAAGAAAATCCTTTAAAAATTTAAAGAAAGAAATTTAAGTACAATGATTTGGGTAGAAACAAAGTTCTACCAGAGGATTATTGCATAAATAATTACAATGACTAATTGATGAAATTTAAATATGTAAATTTCAAATGAATTACAATTGACTAAATAATAATTGAGAAACTTAAATTCAAGTAAACTATCATTAATTTAAGGATTAATAGTTTTAAATAAAAAAATAAAGTTTTGATGTCACAACGGTGATTGTCAAAATTCTATGATTTGAAAAGTTTTTGAAGGATGCCCATAGCATCAAATCCTCTCCTTAGATGTGCATAGTCATAGACACTCTTTGAATTCCCATATGAAGTCCATAAGATGAAGAATAATGTTTGTGAAGTGTCTTGGGCAGCTGTCACCCCCCATAGTGAAAATACAATAATGATGAACTTTGACGATTGTCACTTGATGAAGGTTTGAGCTTGGTGGAGGTAGAGTGTCTCAAAGGGCTTCATCTTTAGGTTTGCACAACAAGAGGAGGCTCTTTATTGTATTTAGAATACTTTGAAGAGATTGTGACAAACCTCTTCGTTGATTGCCTTGCTCCCAACAATGACTTTTTCATCCACCAACCATAGATGATTTCTTCGAGGAATTTGTGATTTTTTTATCTGAAATCCTCAATTAGTTGCTAACAGTTATTTGTGAATATTGTCCATGAAAATTTTGTTGATGATCAAGTACTTTTAACAATTTGATTGTTGATTGACATTCTATAGAAAAATCAAAGAGTTAATATATAATAAAACTATGCTTTTTGACGTTAGTGAGATTCTAACCTTCATCAATTACATGGATTCATAAGAGAAATTTAATCAATTATCAAAATACCCTTAAAATAGTGAGCACATGACCATGTTACCTTCTCTTAACATAGAGGTCTTTTTGACATTATTTTGTTTGTGTTCTATGTTTTCATCCCACATTAATTTTATCCAGACCTTTGAGTTGAATATAAGTTTGGACCTCCTTTGGTATTCAAGTTCCTTCTCCCATAAATAAAATGGTGAGGACCACCTAGGGAGAGGGCTATACCAAGTGGTCTACCCCTCATACACATGTAATGTGTTCATAACTTGCTTCATGCATGTGTCCAGCCCCCCTTAGTGACATGGAAGAGGTGTGATGCACATGTGTATGTGGGTCCTTTGGCCACTAGAGCCTAGCTCTTTGTTCTCCTAGCTCGGGTCCACCCACTCAAGCATAGTGCCCTCTATGGGTCAGCTGCCAAGTGTTGGCTAGCTAGTGGGCTCCCCCCTTTTCATATTATTTATTTATCTTTATTTTATCTCAAATATAGATCTAAAAATAATTTAAAATCACATAATTAACCATAAATTCACAATAGTCACATAATCAACCGTAAACTTTTTTTCCTAATTTAAGGTAAATATAAGACTATTTATCATGAGGTAATATATAAAATATATTATTAACTAATTATTAACTCATAATAATGGAGACTTATTAATGTGCATTTTAGTTTTATATCATGAGGGTACAAAAAACTCTATCCAAGCTAGCAACCACTCTTCTTTTATATATCTATATATTCCTCTATATAATTTAATTCACACATAATTTATTCGATGACTAGAATCCATAAATTAGTCATTATGAGGCATGGGTTAATACACAAATTTAATTTCAAGAAAGAATAAAATTGATAATGATTGCTAGTGAAATTATTTTGAAGTGAGATGCTTGCAACAATGTATTAATTAAAATGCAAGAATGTATTAACATATGTGGATACTTTCGTCTCTAATACTGTACTGAACCATCTATGCACTTGCGGTGGTGGGTGTGGTGCTAGGTGGCGGCATCAATGGGTGGTGCTATGATGAGATCCTTGCATCAGTCAACTCAACAAGGAAGGGGTGTTGGCTTATGAGACAAAGAAGGGAGAAGAACGAAGGGACTGTCAATATAGAGAAAGCCACAATACTTATTATAGAAGGAATTATTAGAGAAAATTCACAAGAATTAGAAAGATCCAGTTCAGAAATTGCATACAAGCCAGCATCAGCTTATAAGCAACTGATTGAGAGGAGGGAGGTAGGAAGCACCTGGAGGCCGATCCCCTCAAAGCAATCACCTTGGTTCCTTGAATTCTCTGCAAAGAATTCTGCAATCAACTCTGTCGGAGGCTTTTCCCTTATTTTCCTTCATTTCCCCTTATTGTTCTAGTTGGGTTGCGTCATGAAGTGTGCTAAGCGTTGACAGTCGTCACCATTTCTCCTTACTGTTCTAGTTCTGTAATCCCTCTTTATTTTCCTGTTCCACTGTCCTCCCCTTCTCTGCGAGATCTCTCTATAACTATTCTACACCCAGGTGTGGGGCCCCATCACGCTACCTTCGGCGGGAGGAGATGCTCACACGCAGTGGGTTCCTCACGACCACCGCGAACGCGGGTATCTCCGACAGCTCGATCTCGTCGCCGTCGGCCGACTCCCATCGGAACTCTCCTACCAATTTGGCTACGAAGAACTCCAGATGGAACAGCGCGAGGCTTATTGTGATACCTCATCTTCTCACTTCCGCATAATTACGGCTTAAATAAAATATTCATGAATTAACTAATCATGACGCCGCCACATCACATACGATGAAACAAAAATCCAGCGGCTGACACGTGTCATTAACTGCAGAAAATTATGGAAAAGCCACTAGAATTTGTGAAATAAAATATGTGTATTTCCCTATATTTCCTTAAATTACTTAAATATCCTCATAACTTAAATATATCAAAATAAATTCAAACAAAGTCATAAAAAATCTGAGTATATTTGTAAAATAGGAAAAATTCTTAGAGTCATTATAAAATTATTATTTTGCTATTTAATAAATGATAACATGCTAAAATAAGACATTTGATCCTAAAATGTATTCACTTTAAGGTAATTAATTCGTAGTTTTAGCATATTATCAATAAGCCACCCCGTTGCTCTTATTGCTCTCACCATCTACGAACCTGCGGTGGTGGCCGCGCGGTGGGCGGCGACAGCAGCGGGCGGCGCTACATACGGCGGGAGGAGATGCGCGCACGTAGGGGGTTCCTCATGACGATCGTGAACTCGGGTATCTCCGACAGGTCGATCTCGCCACCCTCGGCCGACTCCCATCGGAACTCCCGCACCAAGTTGGCCACGAAGAACTCCAGATGAAGCAGCGCGAGGCCCATCCCGGGGCAGATCCTCCGTCCCACGCCGAACGGCATCATCTGGATCTTCCTGCTGCCGGTGATGTCCACTCCCTCACCCTCACCGCCGGGGAGGAACCTCTCCGGCCGGAATTCAAGCGGATCCGGCCACGTTTCCCCGTCCAGGTTCATCTTCGCCACTGAGAAGTTGATGCTGGCGTCCTTGGGGATGGTAAACCCTCGCACAGAGATCTCCTCCGTGACGGCGTGGGGAAGCACAAAGTGACCGGGTGGATGGCGGCGGAGCCCCTCCAGGACCACGGCCTTCAGGTACGGTTTCTTCTGCAGGAGCTCCTCCTTGGTCTCCTCGCCGACTTCCTCCGCCAGTTTTTCCTGCACGGCAGGGTGCTTGACGACGTTCGCCATGATCCACTCCAGAGCCGTGGAGGTGGTGTCGGTGCCGCCATCGAGGAACTCGGCGCAGAGAGTGATGATTTCGTTGTCGTTGAGCTTTCTCCCCTCCTCCTCCGGGATCTCGAGGTCCAGAAGGGAATCCAAGTAGCAGAAGCGGAAGCTGTTCTCCCCCGGAACCCTCGATTCCTTCTGTTGGCGCCGAGATGTGATAAGAGGGAGAAAGATCTCCCTCCGCCGCTGCAGGAGCTGTAGGAGGTGGTTCCACCTTCCCCTGAATAAATACTTACTGATTGTTGGGGCGATTGCGAAGATATTGAGCTTCCGGTAGAAGCGCAGCGAATCCTGCTGCACGGCCTCGATCTCTCTGACGGCCGCTTCCTCTAGCTTCTCGCCAAAGCAGAGGAAGACCAGCAGGCAGAACATGGCGAATTGGAAGGTCTCTTTGACGACCACAACGCCGTCCCCGGACGCCGCCGTGAGGCGGAGCTTGTCCAGGAGGTGGCGCAGGATCCAGTCGCGAGCATCGGCGCACTGCCTGACGCGCGAAGGGTTGAGCATCTCCGTCGCGAGGTTACGGCGGAGAAGCCGCCATCGAGGTCCGTAACCGGCGGTACTGATGCTGCTCTGGTTGAAACTGAGCATGCGGAGGGCGGGGGAGGGAGAAGGGCGATCGGCGAAGACGACCCCGTGCTGGATGAGCATCTCGTGGGCGAGATCACGGTTGCCGACGATGACTATCGGGTTGGAGCCGAGGTGTATCGTCACGACGGGGCCGTACTTGGAACAGAGATCCCGGAGGAGGGGCTCAAACTCGGCGACGGAGCGGGTGAGCCACATGAGATTGCCGAGGATGGGGATGGCCGGGGGGCCGGGCGGCAGTCCTCGGCGCGGTCGCCGGAGGAGGAGTGCGGGCAAGGCCAGGCAGAGGAAGAGGGCGAGGGCGCCAACTCCCCAGGTTTCCATATCCACTGCTCTTCGTAGAGGCTCCAAAGAGTCTGAGGGTCCATTCATTATTTATAACGATAAGACCACGTCATAGAAGCATGGTACGAGATATTTCTCGGTCGCTTGGAGTCGGCTCTTACACGAAAGCGAAGATAGCCCCAGCCGTTAGGACCACCAAAGGTTCATAAAGGACCACGTAAACAACACAAGCCACATTAACTTCTTTTAGGTGGAAACGAAGATTATATTTCCGGCATTGGGATCCAATTGCTGGGCGTGACAATCTGGGGACGCAAGACCAAAAATGTACATACAGCCCATATATCAAGAAGTGGACGGCGGGGCGGTTACATAGATCAAATCCTAAGTTTGAAGTTTGGAAAATTATTCTAAAAGTTATGCTCTCCTTTCACTGATCTAAAATCATATGATTTTCCTAGATCTAAATTTACAATCATGTTTTTTTAGTGGTTCAATGCTAATTACAACTATTGATTATTGATGTCAAATCCCACAAAAACTTCTTACTAGTAGTCTATTAGATCTAACATTTTAAAGGTCAACAACTGATTAAACAAGATTTTAGTCACAAGTTTTTCTAACAACGATATAAAATGTTTTCATCGATTAAAAATTATTATTCAAAACTAATGTTGTTAAAGAGGAGCTAATTTTTTATTTAGAAATCATATTCAATGACCTCACTCATTTTGTTTTATTTCTTAATTTTTGTAATTTTAAAGTTATTTAGAAATTTGAATAATTGTAAATCAATACTGTTTGAAGTATAAGACTTGGTGCAACACTAGGAGAGTGGGTGAATTGAGCATTTTAAAATTTTTGTCTATTGTTTAAAATTTTGTCATATTGATCTATATATGTCAATAGATGTGTCTACACTTGTTGTGACATGACCTCTCATAACTCTCTCACCAAGAACATAAAAAAAAATTATACTAGTTTATTCCTCACATGACCATTTTTAATTTAAGAGGAAACTTATTGTACTAGAATTCATTGATATTTTACAAGATCATCAACTTAAAACATACAGATTTGTGTTCCCAAGATGCAATGATTCTCAATTAAATACAACCATCAACACTGCATGTTTTCACTCAATACACTCCCCTCACCACCAAGTTATCTTAGGATCCAATGGAGAGAAAATACTACACTTGTTGAATTAGTGAAAAAGTTGAAACATTTTCATTCATGATTGATGTGTTAAATATAAGGAGCTTGATGATGAGTGTTGAATCTTTGTGCATTTATTAATCTTTCAATTCAAAATAATTCTCAAATAAATAAAACTTTCATCCTATATCAATTTTTCCATTTTCTTGGGCTTTCAACATTGGGAATAATTATTTCAAAAACTTATCTTTTTTTGTAAACACTTGATAATGTTGTTTGGACCTTCCAAATGTCAAATCTCTTTGATTCTGTAGCTTTTAAAATTCATATCCGAATTGTAACTTCATAACTTGTTGGAAAATAGTTGAAATATCTACATTGGTTCTAGAGTTTTTTTATTCATTTTTATTTATGTAAGCACCTTACATGCCACCATTGATGTACTATTTCAAAATTTGAATATTTAATTCATTATTTTTCTCTCACTGATATAACAGATGTGATAGTTTAGGGAACTAATGTAAGAGCATATTGAACTGATAAATACTATAACTATACAGTTAATCATCATATATAATCCAAATTAAAATATTTCATTTTTGTAAATGTGTCGATGTGTTGACTCATATCATATAACTATTTATTTACTTTTCGTTTGTCTATCTTTCTTTAATTGATAATTCTTTATCCTTAAGTTTTCTTTCTTTAAAGAATTACAAACTTAATCTCAATGCTTAATGTCTTATATTGATTTTTGGTAATAAGATTATAATCATATGATGAAAAAAATTGATGTAAATGTATTTACTAGAAAATATCAACATATTATTTAGGTAGAAGTAGAAATGGACTGCAGCAAAGGAGTTTGGAAAGATAAATTACAAGAGTTGGAAGTGACTAGTCACTTCTGACAAAGCTTAATGAAGCCCGATCACTACATAGAGACATCTACCAGTCATGAGCGTTATATTACTCATGACTGCCTAGAGAGGCAGAAGCAGTCACTTGATGGACGAAGTAGAGCTGATACAATAGGCAGGCGAAGGGAGCCAGATGTGGAGTAGTGAAGGAGGCCTGCCATATGTATACAACATTAGTCACTGGTGAAAGACAGAAAAAAATTATAACTTCAGTGAACTATTGATGAAGAATGGTTGAAAATGCAGCTGGTCAATCTGGAAGAGGGGGCCAAGGAGAAAGTAATTGAGATAACATCTTGATAGGATTCTAGGAACTCAATCAAGTCTTGGTGCACTACTCACAAAAGGCAGTGTCAACACCATGTCGATCTTATTTTGTGTTCATTTGATCAAGTTGGTTGAGGGTTCCAAGCTAGTCCTATCTTTCAAGCTAGTCCGATCAAGTTGACTGATCAAGTTGGTCAGGAACCTTAGCTAGTCGTATCTTTCATTCTTCTATTCCGAAGTATAGATGGTCCTAGGCTCAAAGGAGCTAATAAGATGACTTTCATTTTACCAAATTAGGTCATGATTTGACCCAAATATCAATGAATCATTAGTGTATAATAAAAAGTGACACATGAATCATTCTAAACTCCAATGTTATATTTTATATGATAGTATGTCACAGGGAGAGGGGAAATTAGGTGTTGGACTTTAGGCCACACTTAGATCAAGAAGGGGATAGGGTCTACATTGATCAGATCCTAATTTTTGACATTTGAAAAATTATTCTAAAATTTGTGTTCTCCTTTCTCTAATTTTAAATTGTATGATTTTCCAATATCTAAATTTGATATTGTCAATTTTTCTTGGTTCAACCCTCTATCTATGTCCAATTTTCAAGAATACTTACATTCTTGGGTTCCATCAGACCAATCATTCACTAATTACAACTATTGATTATCCACGTCAACTCTCCCACATAAACTTATTTAAATTTTCTTTTAGATAGAAGATTTTAGGAGATTGAAAACCAATTATAGGTTTTATTTCTCTTGAGTGATTAAATTAGTATTGAATCACAAGTGTTTCCAATCATGATAAGAAATGATTTCATTGTGAATATTTTATTGATGATGGCATTGACTTGGTGTTTGAAAGGATATTTCATTAGAAATTTGGTGGTCAGATTTTGATTTCAGTTGTCCTCTTCATGTTAGGGAGCTAAGTGAGTGTTGAAAGTGTTTTCAGTTTAATCTGGTTGAAGAAGATCTGGTACAACTTGAATTTCATTCTTCAACAAATTGCTTTCATTACATTTTATCCAATAAGGAAAACTACTCAGATTCAAGTAATTAAGTAAATGAAATTTCATCAAAACACTTTTAGATCAGTCAAAAATAATGATTCAAAAGTAACTAGTCGCTAAAAAGGTGCTCAATTTATAGAGAAATTATATTCAAGGACCTCATTCATTTTTTTATTTCTCAATATTTAAATTCAAAAATTGGTTATACATTTGAATAATTGTAAATCAAATTATAAGACTAGGTGAAGCACTAGGAGGGGAGTGAATTGAGCTTTCTAGAATTTTTGTAGTGCTTTAAATTTATGGGATACCTATCTATATATGTTGATAGATTTGTGTACAAGTGTTGTGAGAAGACCTCTTAGCACTCTCTCAACAAGAACATCAAATTTGTTATACTCATTTATTTATATTTTTCACTTATTTTCTATAGGAATATATATTGATATTTACAAGATCATCAACTTAAACACACAGATTTTTCTCCTCAAAAACCCCATCATTCCCTATGAACTACAACTATTAACACCTCATATCAATAGGCTCTGCCTTCACCACCTAATTTCCTTAGGGGCCCAATGGTGAGCAAAAATTGTAGTGGTTGAACAAGTGGACAAATGAAACATTTTCATTCATCATTGATGAGTATGGTGTAAAGAGATTGATGATCAGGGTCAATCTTTTTCGCAAATATGTAGACTCATATCATATAACTATATATTTAGTATTTTTTTGTCAATCTTTCTTCAATTGATAATTCTTTATCCTTAAGTTTTTCCTAAAGTAGATTGAAAATTAATGTTAATGATTAATGTCTTATATTTGATTGTTGGTAATAAGATCATAATCATATGATAAAGAAAATTAATGTTGTGAATGTATTTAATGTATTTAATATTTAACACATAAGTAACACAAAGAAACATCAATAATAGATAATAAATTACTGATAATTTTTTATTTAAAATTATCAAAATAAAAAATATCAACATATTATATAGGTAGTAGTAGAAGTTGAGTATGATGAGATGAGATAATAATACTAAGAAAAGAAAGCTGATGTCCCATCACTACTGTTACACAATTAATTGTCATTGAAATTGCTACTATCAACATGATGATGGCTACCTCATCAGCCTCCATGTCCATGATGAGCATGACAAAATTTGAGCAAGTCAGACATTAACGTCTCTATTAGATCTTTGCATGAGAATTAAAGATCTTCTGGGAAATGGGTATGTGTAGATTCTCAATGCCTCCCAAGTGAATTCCCAAGTGAATGTGAAGGAGTTCAAGTCCATCCTTGTAGGATTGATCTTGTCATCTCCCTCAATAGGGTTTGCTAGTTACCTTGCCCTAGGAACAAGGAAAAAGATCATGGTGATCATAATAGGACATACTAAATGACCTCATGAAAAGAGATTTACAATTGAGTCACTTGTGATTATCACCTGGTCAATTGTAATTGAAATCTCAAGCTCTCAAGAAAACCCTGCTAATAGTTCAATCATTATAACTAATTAATCAGATTTATAGCTTCAAAGATATCTTAAAAAAATGGAAATTCAGTGATAAACAAGGTCGTATAATCAAGTCTAAGTAAAATGCCAAAGGTATAATATAATTCTAATGATATATTCCAAAATGATCTGTTAAATAAGTGCTTATAA